GCCATTTGTACCATTGTCTTTGTGGTTTCCCAGCTTCAAACCTTTCAATTGTTTCTTTTTTTTTTTTTTTTTAACCTCCATCGTATATTGTCACTCCCACCTGACCCCAAAGACATCCATGTCCTAATCCTGGGAATCTGGCTGGGGATTTAGCTCAGTGGTTCTGCCGCCTGCCCCCATGAGTGCAAAGACCCAAGTTCAATTCCTGGTACCAAATAAATAAATAAAAATTTAAAAATAAAATAATTCTGGGAATCTGTAAATATACTAGGTTACTGTTATGGCTGGGTCTAGATGTCCCGCCAAAGCTTCATACAGTCACAGGTGGGGCTTTTTCAGAGGTGACTGAATCTAGAGTGTGTAATGCTGGAATAGATTCATGGTACAATTCTAGGTTCAAGAGCACTAGAATTAAGGGTGTGAGAGCTACCTGCCCTAAGTAGTTGGGACAAGATAAAAGGAGCAGAAAGACGCTGTTAAGGTCCCTTGTTGCTTTTGCTGTCTTCTGTGTGCCATAAACTGTTTCCACCCAGCCTTGGAGCCAGCCAATTATGGACTGAAACCTCTGCAAACCGTGAGCAAAATAAACCTTTCCTCCTTTAACTTTGGGTGCCAGGTATTTTGTCTCAGCAATGAGAAAAGTAACTAAGATAGTTACACAGCTGGGGAGAATTATGGTTGCTAATCAACTGACCTTAGAACAAAGAAATTATTCTAGAATTTTGTGGGTGGGCCTGCTGCAATCACAAGGATCCTTTGTGTGTGGAAGATAGAGACAGAAGAGTCTGGGTGAGAATGAAACAGCTTTAGAGAGACTCAGCCAGGCATTTACAGCTTTGAAGATGGAGGACAGCCATGAACTGTGAAGTGCTGCAGCCTCTGGGAGCCAGGAAAGGCCAGGGAAGCACATCCTCCCCTGGATTCCCTGCCCTACCCATGACTCCTTGATTTGAGTCCAGTGGAATTCATTTCAGACTCCTGACATTCCAGACTGGAAAGATAATACATTTGCATTGTTCTAAAACATCAGGTTTTTGGAAATTTGTTAGAGTACCAATAGGAAACTAATATACATCCCAGTCACCGAGTGCAATCCTCATTGATTCATACTTTATTCTGCCTCTCAAGTGTCTTTTCCATCTCAATGTCAAGAGGTAGTATGTAGTTCAGGCCTTCGTTTGTTAGATACCGAATGTAACAGATGCCTAACAGAGTTATAAGGAACAGAGCCTAAATTCTGAGTCAGGAGACCTGAGTTTCTATCTGCTCTGCTATTAATTAGCTGGTGGCCTCGGGAAACCTCTCTGCCAAATTTCTTCCTCCTCCATTCTGACTACACACACACAAGCAGAACTGTTGTAATTTGAATAAGATAATCATCAACTTTTTTTCTAAATTTTATCAGGACTGTTGCACTGATAAAAAGTCTGTCTGCTTTTTCCTTAGATCTTCCACCCTTCCTATCCATCAATCTAGAATTATTCTTAAAATCTGCTTAATTTTATTTTTATTCTTTTGTAGAAACTTAAATTGACTTTTCATTGCTTAGCGATTAAATAAGTACCTATTAAAAACCTTTTACAACTGGGTATGGTGCCCCATACATATAGTCTCAGCACTCTGGGAGGCTGAGGCAGGAAGACCACAAAAATGAAGTCCTACCTGGCCACTTTAGTGACTTAGCGAGACCTTGACTCAAACTAAAAAAATTTTAAAGGGTTGGGGGTGTAGCTCAGTGAGAAACCCCCGGTTCAGTCTCCAGTACTGAAAAAATAAATAAGAAGAAAAGAAAGACATTTTTTATAATGTGCCACCTGCCACTGCCTCATGTCTCAGCAACACTTTTTCTTTGCTCAAGTTTTTTTCCCCCACTTCAGCAAAACAGTCTATTCAGTCATTTCTCAAATATGGCATGTTCACTCTTTATCCTTCCTGCAATATCCATTGAATTCTTAGCTAGTTTACCAGAGCCCTGTATTTGCTGTAAAAGGCCTAGCATCTACCATGCCCTTGAGATTGATTGCTCCTTCCCTACAGTCACTGCCTATCCCAAATTAGATTATGATGAGAACTCAAGAATTATCTAAATCTTCCACCTCAACACTTGGAATTGAGGATGGTAAAGAGATGACAGAAGAGGGGTAAAGGAAAGGAGAAACCAGTTCAAAGGGATAAAGCTTTGCCTTTCGAGTCTTTGGAGGAAGTAGAGAAACAGATGTGCTCAGAACTGATCCAGTACCACTTACATTACTTTTTCTCCATTTATGGTTATGTGCTATCTCCCAAAGTATGAGCTCTTAGTGGCAGGATCATTTCTTTTTGTTTTATTTCTTTTTTTAAAAACTGGTACATATTTGGCACACATAATGATCACATTCATCGTAGGGAATTTGACGGGGTCATTTCTGATACTTCTTTTTATTCCCATCATTGAGAAAAACTTTTATGGCTAACCGACAAGAGTTACTCACTTGTTTGCTCATTGTTCTAACACATAAGTGATAATGACATTAACATACCAAATCCAGCTTTAGTCTCCACAATTCATGAGGCTATGAAACAAATAATGAAGATTTAATCGATGAGCTCAGCAGTCACATATTTCTTTAAAACCTACTTAAGCTCAGTATATGTTAGCCCAATTATTCCCCAGTGTTGGACCATGTAGACTCTCACCTAATCTCCCTCATTTTTTGGCCTCCAAAGCCCACCTTCCTAGAGCACTGTTCGGTATATGCCAAACGTGACTCATAGTTCTCTAATCCCTTTTGGGTTTCTCTGGTTTCTGGGAGACAGTTCCTGCTACCAGTGGCCCAAAGCCTACTTCATTCCAAGCTGTACAGTCACAGCCATACGGCCGGAGGAGTCAGCTTCAGCCAGGAGGCGAGGAAGTGGCCTTGAAAGAGTTCAAGAGACTGCTCATTTTCCATCAAGGGCAATTTCTTAAGAAACTGGGCATCTGGAGAAGGCAGTAAAAAAAAAAAAGTTCCGTGCCAAAACTTTATGAGAAATTTTTAGATTATCTTAGTTAACTTTTACTTAGTTGGCTGTTTGCTTGCAAAATTGCTGCCCAAACCTTCTATTTAATAAATATTGAAGTCAGAAGAATTTGTGGATGATCAGTTGATACTCCTATATTCCAAGATGTTAACAGCCGAGGTGTCATGATAGAGGGGCTCAAGTCTGGCACAATAATTTTAGTTTAAAGCGAACCTCAGTACCAGGTCTGAAGTCCCAGACTGCGTCAGCACATACCCAACCTTGAGACTCTTAATATGATTATTTATTTTACTTTATTTTTTTTTTGGTACTGGAGATCGAACTCGGGACCTTGTGCTTGCGAGGAAGGTGCCAGAACCACTGAGCTAAATCCCCAGCTCCGATGATTATTTTAAAGAATTGTTATATATAGCTAAATATTCAACTTTTTATATTTGTTGTCCTCTCTGTATAGTTTCTCTCTTCTAGTTTTCTCTTTTCTCCTCCTGCCCACAGTTAAATTCATTTCCACACCCTGTCAAGTACATAAATGCCTCCTTTTTTGGCTTGTCGGTAACATACATTTTCTGTAATATAACCTGACAAGTCATTGTATTAGAAATGTCATTCATTTCTTTCATTTAGTCATGTATTTTAAGTCTCTTTCAAAGATTCAGTTTCTGTCTCATACAAATTCTTTTGTCTATCCAACATTTTTCTTCCCCACACAGATCGTATATTTCAATGTGACATTAAACTGCTAAAGAAATTAATATTTTAGCTTTTAAAAATGCTGCAGTATCTTGGACCTAATCATGACTGAGCTACTTATTTTCATCAAATATATCATATATATATATGGACCTTTCAACCATGTTCATATACAGACTCAGTAACACATTTTGATTAACTCTTGCTACATAGGCACAATCTCTTACCTTTCTATTTTCTCCCAATCTTTGTCCCTCTCTTCTATTTCTCAGTTAGATTCATCACCATGGGACTATAGCATACTCAATAACTAGTTATGTGCCCCACACTATCAGGAACAACATGAAGGTACACTGGGTTACCATGACAAAGACAATTGCTATCCAGAGAACACCGCAAAATATTTTTATATCCTGTCCTCTGACTTGAGGATATACAGCAAGCCTTATATGTTCACCTTCAAGTTACTTTCTTCTAAGAATCCTCACTTCTTTCCTTTTCTGTCCCTCACCACTGTTGTATCCACCCCCATAGCACTCTAGCTCTCTTTTAAGGGGGCAAAGGTGAATGGATGGCTCTTTTCAGTCCTTTGTGGAATAGGCTTTGGAATCTCAGAATCTTCCAACTAGTGCAATTATAAGACAAGCAAACCTTCTAGTCACCACTCAAAGCAAAAATTGAATACACAATCCTACTATAAAGAACATGAGCTTAAGATAGAAATAGAGATGAAGAAGACAGACAACTCTCTCCTACCACAAATATACAACAGGTAGCTGCATATAGCAGATGCAAATGCCTAGAATTTTGGGAGCCCAGCTAGAGGTAATGATAGCTAGATAGTGACTACAGCAAAACTCTGACTGCTCCAATTCTTCACACTTAAAGAGGACAAGAGAGATTCCTGAACAGGTTTTCAGACTTTGAAGAAATTGCCCAAGAATGTCTTGAGGAACTCAATCCAGTCTTTATGGCAGAAATAAGGATTCTGGGATGTAGGCAAAATCTGACTAAATCATGAAACTTAGCAAAGAAGATGTAAATAACTGTTGACTACAGTGCAATAATGAGTATAAAACTTGAAATGAGGAAGAGGTCAATGCTAGCTTCAGTGTTGACAGTACTTCAGGAGTACAACAGCCTACAATGAAATCCCTTAACCAGAAGGATCTTCCTATCCTTAGACAATAAATATTGTAAGTTTAAGGATCTGGGGTTCTCATTGGAAGGAACAATCTGCTAACAAGCTCTAAGCATCCCTGTTGCTGAATATACAGTACCAAGAGAGCAAGGCTGTCAATCGTCTTTACCTGGGCCGTTTTTCAGGCTTATGTTTGTACCAGTCAACCTTGGAAGGATGAGGTAATGTCTTCCCTTAGACAAAGAACAAGCTTGTTACCATTCACTCTGAAAGTGATAAATTCTCCAAGCAGGGTTCCTTTCTGCAGTGAGTGCGTGGGCATCCAGATAGGCCTCCTGTGCCATTTCTATAGAATTTGGAGGTCCTAGGAAATTGACACAAGCAAACATGAAGCTCACACTGCCTGCTGAGTCATAAGTAATAAAGCCCTCTGTCTCTGACTCAAGACTCTCTAACCTTTTGTGAGCATACAGGACACAGTAACAGGGTAGCCATAAGCTTAAATTAGAGCAAGCCACAGGTCTATTCACAGCTCCTGATAGTTCTACCCACAGGACACAGAATAGTATTCAGCAAAGAGGGGATCATTCAATTTGCTAAATGAGTCCCTTACATAAAAAGAATATTTGAGTTTGCCCTGCGGCTAACTTCATTTTTGAACACCAAATTTGTCAACATATACTTATGAAATTACAAGGCAGACTATTACTGATTTAAGGTTTGTGCTTTGGTAGCTGTTCACTGCCCAAATTCAAATAAAATGGAGTTATTGGGGTTTCCATCAAGAAATACTTGCAATAATTTCTAAATATTTCTCAAATTATATGTTAATCTGTTATCATAGAACTTTTTAAAAAGCATCAAAACCTTAACTGCATTATACACAATATTTTTGGTTTGTGTGTATAATATCAAAACTATCCATTTTATGATGACAGTGAATCACAATTAATAAAGGAATGCAGAAGTCTACTCACCATTAATTTTTCAGTGTCCCCACACCAGAATCTCAGTCAGGAAGATTTGGAAAAATAAGCAACTCAGTTTTCCCCTTCACTCTGAGGAACACATTGATTCTAGGTCCTCTGAGATCCAGTGACCTCAGTTTTATATCTCCACTGGGCCTGTGATTGATTGATTTATAAATAAAACAACCTCTGATTAGTGACAGAATCTTTGTCCATTTACATGCTAAAGAATAGAATATTTTACACCTGAACTAACATTTGTAAGACCTGTTTTGTGTATCAAGCTGTGTGCTCTGTCCTTCCACTTAAACAGTTTTGCATACTCTTTTAGCAACAAGGGCCAGTGTTGAGTCTCTAACTGGTTCATTGTGTTTTTCTCAATATGTTGCAATCCTGTTTGCATGCCTGCTCCACACCTTCCCAAATGCTGAGTAATCTATGGGAAAAGCAACCCCTCTCTTCCTGGTGAGAGGTTGTAGAATTTGTTTTAACTGAAACCGGGAACTTCCTCTTCATTTCAAACAATGTGAAACTGTAAGGGGCCAGTAGTGGCAGAAGAAACACTGGAACAAAAATTCAGTAGACAAATGTTTAATACAAATTTTTAAAAATGGTAATTGCTTTGAAATGATTTTAGTGAATAATCTTCTCTAGATGTCAAACTATATTAAAGGTGAAAAGTACTTTATTTTAAAGAGAGTAAAATGGGACCCTGTGGATAACCTCATTACACTTTTTTTTTACCTCTCCTTCAAACAGTACACTCACATAGGATACTAGAGCCTTGGGATTTAGACTAATATGGCCATTAAAATCTCATCTTTATAAATGAATGTCAAAGAAACCATTTTAGATTATTCAGATCATTACATTAGGCTGAAAAAACAATTTCTTTTGAAGAAAAGAAACATAGAGATATGTGAATTTTCCTAACATTCAATAACAATGCAAGACCTACTAAAATATATATGTACATCCTATGTCATTACATAAACAGTGTTATAAACATCATGAAGATTTGCTTCACGTAAGCTCTGAGACAGAATTTTTAAAGATGCTCAATGATGTGATAATAGGCAAACACAATTGTTTTTCATTTGTCTTCATTTTTAAAGCATTTTATACCATTTCTAGTCACACTGACTTTTTAGAACATTTTCATTTTCAGGAAGATTTGGAAAAATAAGCAATGATATAGCTCAATGCAAAAGCCCAGGGGTCAATCCTCAATACCGTACACACACCAAAAAAATTGGCTGAATAAATAAATTTCTATCCCCCACATGTTAAACCCTCATTTAGAAAAAATTTTTTTTTTTACTTTGCAATGACGCAAGAACAATATGCACTCAATAGAAACTATACTTTGAATTTTGAGTTTTGGTCTTTTTCCAGACCATGGTTTGACTTACATTTTTTTTCCAGACCAGCAATATGTGGTACAATACTGTCTCATGATACTAGGCAGCTACAGTGAGATGTAGCTTCCAGTTAGCTGAGATTATAGGAGCAAACAACCTAGACTCTATGGTGTACTACATTGTTATACTATAATATTGGGTAGATGCTATGATTTGAGTGTGTTCCCCCAAAAGTCCATGTGTTGTAACCTTAATTCTTCAGTGTGATAGTGTCTGGGCCCTACTGGGAGGTCACCGGGCCATGGGGGCAGAACTCTCATGATTGGATTGATGCCTTTGTCACAGAGTGAGATGAGCTCTCATTGGACTGGATTAGTTACTGTGAGAGTAGATTGCTATAAAGTGAGGTTGCCTGTCATGTTTTCTCTCTTCTGCACATGCTCACTTGTCCTTCCATTTTCCATGATAAGTTAGAGCAGCATGGGGCCCTCATCAGGGCTGCCCAAACTTGGACCTCAAGCCTCCAGAAACAAGAGTCAAAAAAAGTGTGTCTCTCTTTTTTTATAAATCATCCAATCTCAGGTAATCTGTTATAAGTAAGAAAAACGAACCAAGAGAGTAGATTAGATGTAAATGCATTTTCAGCTTATAATAAGCATCTGTATTTGTATAATTGTGTCTTAGTTCTTGAAATATTGCAAGTTATTATTTAATGGTGGTGGGCTGGACATGGTGCCACATGCCTGTAATCCCAGCACTTTGGGAGCTGAGCACAAAGAGGGGAAATTTAAACCAAGCCTGGGCAACTTAATGAAGCAAGACCCTGTCTCAAAACAAAAATTTTAAAATGCAAAAGGCCAGTGTTCAATCCTCAATACCATACACACACCAAAAAAACTGGCTGAATAAATAAATTTCTATCCCCCACATGTTAAACCCTCAACTTAGAGTTCTTTTTATCTCAACATACTTCCTTGGCTTTCATCTATATCTATGTATGGAAATCATCCAAATAGAGCAGTCGTCCATCTACTCCCTTTGATCTTGGGTCTTTCAACTACAATTGATTTCTTAATATGCCTCTCTTGATGCTTCACAAATTCATAATCTCAACACATATAAAATTATACCCTGAAATTAACTCATCTTTGAAACTACAAATAAAAAAATACTTCTTGTGCATCCCTAAATACAATGCACTGCACTAGACAATGCAGGTGATGTCAACAAGAGTGAATCCCAGTTGCTGCCCTCAAGAAGTTTATAGACTAGTGAGGGAAGAGTACTTACAACATACAGCACGATCAGTACAAACCAAGTACAAACCAAGGCCTGCAAATTGTGCGACTATTTCCCAAGCACTAACTCTTTGCAAACCATGCACATTTCATCCTGAGCTAGACATAAACTTCAAAAAATGCTTCAATATGTTTTTCTCCGTGTTTATCCCAGAATCATCCATTGGTCATTCACCATTGGTTTCAGTGCTATATAGTTACATCCAAAATTGTGATCAAAATTATTAGATCTTGACCTCCTTTCCTAGTTGCTCTACATTCTTGTATCTTCATGTATCTCTCCAACTTGTAGGTCCCTATTTGCTACTCTAGGACTTTGGCTTCCTTGGCTGTCTTTTATGTTCCCATACTGTTTCAGGTTGCTTCAAAACATGTAAGTTGCATGTTAAAAGGATATTAAAAATTGTATTTATGAAATACTTTAAGAAAGAGAGAAAACCTAAGGGCATATTATAGAATGTTTGGATAGAAGAGTTGGTGTGCTTAGGCCTGTTTGGTTACCAGCTTCTTACTCTACTTACAAGCAGACCAATTGGACCTACTTTGTCTTCACACTTGCTAAGAAACCAGAAGAATATTGGGCCAGAAAAACAGCTTGGAGTTGAGGGGAAAAACAAATATACAGTAGAATTAAACAAGAAAGTCCTCGAAGTGGAGGCAGAGTTGCACAAAGGCAATTTGAGCACAATATGTGGTGGTGGTGGTAGATAACATGATTTCCTGCCATTCCCTGCTCATCATCATGAAGCAGAACAATCAAGAGATCATGAGTAATAGTGCATCAGCACACATTATCAGGTCTCTGGTTCCATACCTAACAGGTAAACTCTATCCTCTTAGCTACCCTGGGTTCCTTTCTCTTTCTAGACAGTGTCAGGCTTCAAAAACTGTTAATGTTGGTCCATGGTCACTGATAATGGCAAGAATCTGTCCTAAGGGCCCAAAGACAGAAGCAATGCTGTTCCTACAGCAAGGGCATCATGTCTTTGGCTCTTGGAGCTGCCAACTTCACCTCTTCTCCCAACCCCTCTTCTTGCTGGTACCACCACCCCACTGCACCCCCAATGCTCTGTTTTGAGGTGTGTGGTCTTTTGCTGCAACCTGGGCCCTGGGCTGTATCCACCCAGCTGTGTGTTATAGAGAGGAATAGAAATGAAATGGTTTTATATAAGAACAAATTTACCCTGAGCTTTGAAAAATGATGATGGCAATGGGGGAATAGATTAAAAATTGGGGGGCCGGGGATTTAGCTCAGTGGTTTCACTGCCTGCTGGGCAAGCGCAAGGACCCAAGTTCGATCCCCGGTACCAGAAAAAAAAATTGGGGAGTAGATTTTGAAAGGCAGAGAAAGTTTATTTGAAAAAAAAGAGAGAACTTTGTACATTTGAATAAATATGGCAACAATGGAATTCCAAAGTATGTTTGGAAGTCACACAATAGAACTGTTTTGCAGGTGATAAGGATTCATGCAAAGGACTAGTGACATTATTTTTTGTCTTGGAGCTAAATCTCTTCTTTTAATTTCATGACCAAAAGACAAAATTAAAATAAAAGATAGCTTCTTGTGAAGCTGGAATACTCTGTCTTTTCTTCCCTATTGAAGGGAGTTGAGTGAAAGTTGTCCTCAGCATGAGTTGCAAATTTTCTTCTTTACCTAGTTTCAGAGAGAGAAAGGAAGGCATACTTTCAACTAGGTAGGCAGAGTAGAGTAGGCATTTATCAAGTGGTTCAAGATATTCCAAGAAAGTTCATGCATTAGCTTTGGGAGCCAGCAAGGTGGTTTTTAGTAAGGACAGAGCAGGTCCACATCAAGTGTTTGGATGAATGAGAAAAAAACGTACTTGCTATAGTTTGATCTGAAATGCCTACCCCCTCCAATCCATGTGTTAAAGGCTTAGTCCCAAGAGTGGTGGTATTTGGAGATGATGGAACCTTTAAGAGGTGGGGTGTGGTCGTGGTGGGAGGTCTTCAGGACCCCAGTCCCTTCCTCTCCTTTTTCACTTCCAGGCCATGAGGTGAGCAGTTTTGTTCTACCACACACTCCCGTCATCATGTGCTCCCACAGCCCCAAAACAATAGGGCCAGTGCCTCATGGACTGAACTCTCCAAAACTGTGAGCCCAAATAAAACTTTGTTCTTTATAAGCTGATTATCTCAGGTGCTTATCACAGTAACAAGAAGCTGACTAACAATATAATCCTTTATTCAAAAATAAGCTCAGGTAGGCATATATGGATTGGCAAGCCAACTGTGAGCTGAATTTAAATCTTATTTTTCATTTTTAATTTTTTATTAGTACGTGTTTGCATTACATAATGATTGTATCCATTGTAGGGAGTTGGTGCACGTACATGACAGATCTCAATTCTTTTTTTCACCTGTTTGTCCCTGAGTCAGGTACCTTTGGGTACTGTGCAACCTTCACCACACACAAAGCCAGGAAACCCTTGGGTTTAAAAGGTCTGGCTAAGCTTAAATTGACCATGAGAATAACTCTTTCCTGTCTGACATGAGAATAGAAAGAGGTTTCAAATGACAATTAGTCTGTTTTCTAGTAGAAGGAGATATAAACCTGGATTCACTCTCCCCATGCCTACTTTTCTTGTTTACTTGAGATTGCATTACTTGTAGCCTTGAGTGTTTAG